GCCGCGGACGCGGGCGCCGGGGCAGATGCGCCCAGCGGCGCGGCGCCCTCGGCGGAGGTGCCGAGCGCCTCCGCGGCGCGCGCAGGGCGGAGCGGGTTGGGGAGGCCTCGGGCGAGGAGGTGCCGCTGCAGCGCCTCCGCGTCCACTTCCTCGCTCGCGCAGCTGGTTTTCCTGGCGCCTCCTGGCGCCGGGAGGCGCCCATGTATCGAGTAATGGGCCGGGCGGCGGGGCGGAAACCAGCTGTATGCACGCAGCAGATTTCGCAACCTTTACCTGTCCCACCCTTTCGTCAGGCCCGATCCTCCACCTACTCGTCCTCCTCGTCGTCCTTCTCCTCGTCGTCGTCGTCGAGCTTTGTGGGAAAGGAGGCTGGTTGCCTCGGATATCTCGGAGCGAAGCGCTGACCGTGCTCCTGCGTACGGGTTGGATTTCCCCGAGGCTCTTGACATGTATCGTGTGGCGCAGTGGCGCGGCTTTGTTGACCCACGTGACGCGATTGAGTTCTGCCGTGCCGAATGGCGCCGTGAACACGAGGCTCGGCTCTTATCAGGTAGGAGCGATGAGCACGAGGAGCCCGACTACTAAGTAGTCGATTCGCTGGATGCGAAGGATTTCTTCCAAGGCCCCAGTAGCCCAATAGCTCTCCTGCTTCAATCTTTTCCTTATAGATAACTCCGCCCTTTCGCACCCCGAAGCCGGTCGAAAGGGCGGGCTGGTCGTTTCGCCTGAGACTCACTCATCAGTTATGACCCTGATGCAATTGACAACAGATTCCCAAATGGAGGGCGGCTGGCTTTCAAAATGTGAATCTCGCCTTAGCGCCGCGCGTACTCGTTTTGAACATTTGCAAGAGCTACACGCATTGAGGGCGGGCCGTTTTCAAAACGTGGTTCTCGCCTTAGCGCCGCGCAAATTCGTTTGAACATGTTGCAGGAGCTTCACGGATTGAGGGCGGGCCGTTTTCAATATGTGGCTCTCGCCTTAGCGCCGCGCACATTCGTTTTGAAACATTTGCAAGGGTTTCGCGGATTGAGAGCGAATCGTTTTCAACATGTGGCTCTCGCCTTAGCGCCGCGCACATTCGTTCTGGAACATTTGCAAGGGTTTCACGGATTGAGAGCGCATCGTTTTCAACATGTGGCTCTCGCCCAAACGCCGCGCACATTCGTTTTGAAAAATTGCAAGATCTTCGCGGGTTGAGAGCGGGCCGTTGTCAAAATGTGGCTCTCGCCGTAGAGCCGCGCACACTCGTCTTGAACATTTGCAAGAGTTTCACGGGTTCTCATGGCTAACGTACCAGGAATGGTGCTTTGGAAGGACTCACGTTTGTCAGGGCGCAACAAGTCCGTTGATCAAATCGAAGGAAATGTGCTCTGGCACGGAATGTGTTCTGGCACGACTCAAGATCGCCAACACGTAACTGTCAGGTTCGCTCGTGGCTTTGTAGTCCTGAGAATGATGTTCTGGCGCGGTTCAGACACATGGTTGTCCCCCAACAGGGCAATTTCCCCAGAGGAAATCCGCCGATCCAGCGTGTGAGCTTCTGAGAGCGTGGGCTTGAGCTCGCTCAAGCTTCGCTCTGTCGGGGGGGGGGGGACGCCATTCAGGCCCAGGAAGGGGGAGGGGCGGAGAGCTCGCTCAAGCTTCGCTCTGTCGGGGGAGGGGGGCTGACGCAATGGCTGATGCCATTCAGGCCCGGGAGGGGGGAAAGGGGGGGGCGGTTGACCGCCATGGCTGACGCCATTCAGGCCAGGGAGGAGGAGTCGGGGAGGGGGGGGGGGGCTCAGGCCCAGGAAGGGGGAGGGGGGGCGGGGAGCTCGCTCAAGCTTCGCGCTGTCGGGGGGGGGGCTGACGCCATAGCTGACGCCTTTCAGGCCGGGGGGGAAGGGGGGGGGGAACCCATGGCTGACGACCATTCAGGCCCGGGGGGAGGGAGGCCATGGGGCGGGGGGGGGGGGGCTAACGCCTTTCAGGCCCGGGAGGTGGGAGGGGGTGGTAGCTCGCTCAAGCTTCGTTCTGTCCGGAGGGGGGGGGGCTGACGACATAGCTGACGTCATTTAGGCCCGGGAGGGGGGAAGGGGGGGGGACGGAGGGGGTGACGCCATGGCTGACGCCATTCAGGCCCGGGACGGGGGAGTCGGGAGGGGGGGGGGGGGGAAGGGGGGCTGACGCCATGGCTGACGCCATTCAGGCCCGGGACGAGGGGGGAGGGGGGGAAAGAGGGGGCGACGCCATGGCTCACGCCATTCAGGCCCGGGAGGGGGGAAGGAGGGGGGGGGCTGACGCCATGGCTGACGCAATTCAGGCCCGGGACGGAGGAGGGTGTGGGAGCTCGCTCAAGCTTCACTCTGTCGGGGGGAGGGGGCTGACGCCATGGCTGACGCCATGCAGGCTCGGGAGAGGAGAGGAGGGGGGGGGGCGACCGACGCCATGGCTGACGCCATTCACGCCCGGGAAGGAGGAGTCGGGGGGGGGGGGCGGGGCCTGACGCCATTCAGGCCCGGGGGGAGGAGGCAAGGGGGGAGCTCGTTCAAGCTTCGCTCTGTCGGGGGGGGGGGGGAATGGCTGATGCCATGGCTGACGCCATTCAGCCCCGGAAGGGGGAGAGGGCGGGGAGGCGGGCTGACGCCATGGCTGACGCCATTCAGGCCCTGGAGAGGGGAGGGGGAGGGGAGGGAACGACATTCAGGCTCGGGACGAAGGTGAGGCTGAAGCTTCGCTCTGTCGGGAGGGGGAGGGCTGACACCATTCAGGCTCGGGTCGAAAGTGAGGCTGAAGCTTCGCTTTGTGGGGGGGGGGGCGACGCAAGCTTCGCTCTGTCGGGAGGAAGGGGGCTAACGCGAAGCATACAAAACGCCCCAAGAAGACCCGAAGAGGCCTCCCAAGAGGACCCAAAGAGACGGCCCCAGAGAGCCCCAAGACGGCACAAGAGACGCCGAAGAGGGCTCCAAGACGGCCCGAGAAGGGCCCAATACGGCCCAAGAAGCCCCAAGGAGGCCCCCAAGAGGCCCCCAAGAGATTCAAAAACTTCCTCCAGCGCGCCCCCAAGAAGCCTCCAGGATGCCTCCAAAAAGCCCCCCGAGAAGCCTAGGAGCGCCCCCAACAGGTGTCATACATCAGCTACGTCAACATCCCATGATTTTGGCTGTTCTCGCGAGATCGCCACTTTCGAATATCCGAAGGTTGCCCAAGCGAGCTCAACATCTCTATCTTATGAAGATGTCTCGAGCGAGTACTCTACTTTTGGACATAAGAGGTCATCCGTTGCAAGCAGAATCGGTAGCACCCCGGATCGGCGGCACTGGCCGGAGGCCACTACAATAACCTCTTGTAGGGGGCTGTGAATCGGGATCTTGGAGGGAGGCCCCCATCGTTGCCGCTCAGAGGACGAGGAGGAGGAGGAGGAGGAGGAGGAGGAGGAGGAGGACTTTGCCTCTGATCCTCTCCCCTGCTGCTCTCAGTCCAAGGGCAGGCTGCCGGCGGCCGCCTGCGCCAGACTCCGGGCGCCTACAGCGCCCGAGGTCTCGTCGATGTACACCGGCTCGTGGTAGACGTAGCGGGTCGCGGCCTTCGGCGCACGCAGAGATGCTGGCACGGAGGAAAAGAAGCCCCCCCGCCCAAAACAAACGCCACACCCCTACATTTTGGGCGCTCCGCGCGGGATTTTTCTTGGCTCTGCGCGGAGCGCGCCAGGGGCGGCGCCGGAGGCGCCGCCGCCAGCGGGCCCAGCGCGGATCCAAGAACTTCGCGCGGAGCGCCAAAAGTTTATGTTTACGCCGTTATCTCTTATTCGACTGAAGGGAAAAAGGGCCTGGAGAGCTTTTCCTCCCGAGCCGTCTCTTGACGGTCCCAGGGGCGGGGGAGGACCCAAGGAGCCCGACCTTGGCGATGAACCTTCAGGGCCTGCTTCCGTCCAGACGCCCTTCCTCGGGGGCCGCCGCAAGACCACATCACCAATCTTGGCCCCTACCAGGGCGCGGCGTGCTGGCTGGAGCCTCGTCAGCAGCTTGGGCAGCCGGCGCTGTGCTCATTCGGAGGAGGGGGCGGGTGGGCATCGAACATGTGCACAGGTCCACTTCTTTTCTCCTCCTTCCCCCTCCTCCTGTGGATCGTTCTCCTCCTCCCTGGGTGGGGCGAGGAAACGCAGGGTGGATCTGTCTGGCTATCCTCCTTCAGAAGGGGGGAGGGGCGACTGCAGACACCTGGCCGCGTAATTTTTTGTTCACGCCACAGCTCCCCTAGAAAACTGTCGGGGATCCAGGCCTTGCAGAATCCTGCAAGATCCTGCACCCAAGCCGGGGTCAATGCGAAGGATCCTGCAAGATCCTGCAGGATCCTGCTCTCAAGCCCGGGTCCATGCGACCCTGGCCCTGCAGGATCCTGCAGGATGGGGCGCTCTGGCTGACCCCCGTTTGCATTGACCCCCGCTTGCGTTGAACCCCGTTTGGCTGACCCCCGTTTGCATTGACCCCGCGGAAGGGGCCAAATTTCGGGAGCCTTGAGACTCTCAAGGCTCCCGAAACTTGGTTCCTCCCGTGGGGCCGGCTTCTGCCTCCCGAAACATTCTATTGACGGCCCCAGGGCCCGACGAGGGGCAGCAGGCAGGCCGGTGACCGCCGAGGATACCTCCCGCAGTTCTCGGCGCGAGTGCAGATGCCCAGAAACGCGGTTTTCCCAGCACGGCGGGGCCACCAAGGAGATCCGGAGGGCGGGCGGGAGCAGGGGTGGAGGAATGGAAAGATGATGAGGAGGAGGAGGAGGAGGAGGAGGAGGAGGAGGAGGAGGAGGAGGAGGAGGAGGGGAGGAGGAGGAGGGGAGGAGGAGAGGAGGAGGAGGAGGAGAGAGGAGGAGGAGGAAGGAGGAGGAGGAGGAGGAGGAGGAGGAGGAGGAGGAGGAGGAGGAGGAGGAGGAGGTAGGAGGAGGGGGGGAGCAGGAGGAGGGAGGAGGAGGGAGGAGGAGGAGGAGGAGGGGAGGAGGAGGAGGAGGAGGAGGAGGAGGAG